TGACCTCCCCCTCCCCCTGGTGCGACCTCCTCCTCCCCCTCCCGCACGACCTCCTCCAACCTTTCACCCCAGCGTGCGACCTGCTCCTACCCCTCCCATGACCTCCTCCCCCGTGCACAGCCCACTCCTCCCCCTCTTCGGACCTCCCCCTCCCCCTCGCGCGACTTCCTCCTCCCCTTCACGGGACCTCCTCCCCCTTGCGCAACCTGCTTTTCCCCCTTGCACATCGTCTTCTAACCTCCTCCTCCCCCTCACGCGACGTTCTCCCACCTCTCTTTTGACCTCCTCGAGCTCCTCCTCCTCCTTGTGCGACCTCCTCACCTCTCACGTGTCCTCTTCCGACCTCCTCATCCCACTCGCGCGACCTCCTCCCACCTCCCTTCCGACCTCCGCACGACCTCTTGCAACCTCTTGTCCTCCTCGTGCGACCTGCTCGTCTCCCTCGCACTACCTCCTCCTTCCCCTTGCACGACCCACTCCTCCCCTTCTTTCGACCTCCTCCTCTCCCTTGTGCGACCTCCTCCTAGGCTCCTCCCCCTCTTGCGACCTCCTGCTCGTCCTTGCGCGACCCGCTCCTCCTCCTCACACATTGTCCTCCAACCTCCTCCTCCCCCTCGCGCGACCTCCTCCTACCCCTCGTGCACCCCCCTTCTCCCCCTCGCGCGATTTCCTCCCCCTCTTCTGACCTCTCCCTTGCTCAACCTCTTCCTCCCCCTCACNTTCTGACCTCTCCCTTGCTCAACCTCTTCCTCCCCCTCACACAACGTCCTCCTAATCCTTGTGCGACCTCCTCCCCCTCACGCGTCCTCCACCCACCTCCTCATCCCCCTCGCACGACCTCCTCCTCCTTGTTGTGATGTCAGCTTCCCCCTCGCATGACCTCCTCCCACCTCTCTTCCGACCTACTCCTCCTCCTTGTCGCGACGTCCGCTTCCCCCTTGCACAACCTCCTCCTCCTTATCCGACCTCTTCATCCCCCTCGGTCCGACCTCCTCCTCCCCCTTATGCAATGTCCTCCTCCCCCTGGCAATCTCCTCCCTACATCCTCTCCCCTCCTCCATGAATTCTCGTCGTCTGCCATGCTTATCGTCCTCCTCCTTTTCGTCCCTCTTTCTCCTTTTGTTCCATCCTCCTCTTTCCTCCATTCTCATCGTCCCCTCGGTCCTCTTTTTCGTTGTTCCTCCTTGTCCTCGCCACTCCTCATGCTGCCTCCTTTGTTTCGATCGGCTCAAACATGCTTCTCCCTCTTCATCCTCCCTCTTTCTCACACCCCTCCTGCTCTGAGCGCACACGTGCCACATGCCCCAAATGTCTTTCTCCCTCTTCCTCCTCCCTCCTCCTGCGTTGATCTTCCCTCCTCCATCACATCTTTCCATCGTCGCCCTTTTCCATATCAAAACGGCCCCCGTCCGGCACCACGGACTGGCGGGAAACAGAACTGAATGGGGGGGTTGAAAGAAAAACCGTGGCAGCGGGGAACGCGACTTTGTGTCCTCCCGACACTACAGAGCGGGGCGTGTCGCGTGGAACCGCCACACCGAATTTCCCTCACTCCCGCCCGAAGTCCCGCCACGAAACGTCGCGACCGATTTACCTTGCCCCAATCTCGCCCGCCTCCACAGCAAGTTTCGCTGGGCCCAGCGAGAAGCGTCACGCTGGGCCCTTTGCATTCTTTAAGAGTATAGAGATATCACGCAAAGTGGGGAAGTACTACACTCCTAGCTGGAGCAGCAATTCATTTCAGAGAAAAGTACCACACACAAAACAGTGTGTGCTCCAACCAAACCAAACCAAATCCTACACGACTTCTTGCCTTGCCTCTACGACAATCGTAATGTTCAATGGCTACCATTACATCACATCAGCGAGTCACAAAAACTGGGGTGGAGAGATGCCTAAGTAGGTGAAGGACTGGAGAATCAATAATCAAAGGTGATGTTGGACTCCCCTACAAGAGTCCACCCAGCCAACCCAGCCAGGCTGGACTTCACTTCGTCGTATCACCGGCTCAAGCAAATAAGTAAGACCCCTTTCATCCTCCTCACCTTCCTCCCCTTAAGGACAGTTGCCACTCACCTGCAGTGAGAAAGAGTTCATACAACCCCCAATGGCTATGATCCGTCTACAGGTTCTGGTGAGATGCCAACCATCAAGGACGCTTAGCGTCAACCTTTCCAAATCACTTCCTCAACACTCCCAATGGTTGTGGTCCGTCTGAAGGTTCTGGCGAGATGGCGAGCCTCAAGGAAGCTCAGATTCCATTCAAATCACTTTCCTAACACCTGGACAATCTAGCTCAACCTAACAGAAATCCACTTTATCCAAGACTACACCAAAGAGCATCCATTTAGTTATCATAAGGACAACACCAAGATCCCCTCCCAGTCAAAACTGACTTACGAAACATGGTGAGTAAAACATATTTCCAAAACGAAGACTTTGGGCTAGACAGTCCAAGAAAAACAAGCAAAGAATGATCATGAACCACCATCATTCATCTCATCCCTGCAGCCACAGAACCAAGGGTATCCATTTGTCACACGGCCACTCACCTGGAGCAGATGACTCACCCTTGAGGAAGGTATCACTCCCATCTCACTTGCCAACCTGCATAACCTCCTATCCCACTACATAGGACCGTCCTGATCCTAAACCATGCTGGAGTCTAGTCGGTCTCTACACATGTCACCTTCACTGCTCACGAGGATCATAGAAGTCGAAGTAACAACCATCTTGAGTAGCCTGCATGCTGTAGTAGGTTCCCTCTTCTGCTCGCCAACTGCAGGAGAATCCTCCTTTGCCACACGTCTCCTCCAGATACCCTCCTCACTGAAGAGTACATTCCACCCTTTTTATCTCACACTCACTGCTCCATCTCAGTGCCTCCCTGAATCTCACCACCCGCAGTGACTGCCTCCCTGAATCTCACCACCCTTATCCTTCACTCCAACCTTAATCGGACATATCAATGTCCCAACGCCTCTCGCGACAAGTTAGTGGACCGGGTAACACTCACCATCCTAATTCCACGAATCCCACCCTAATCCACATTTAACTGCCCCAACTCCCGTGCTACCAGCCAGGCCACCCAGGTTACCTCTGAATGGCCCAGGTGGCCAGGGCAGGCAAGGTCCAGGCAAAGTCCCAGACAGTCCCAGTGCAAAAAAAAAAAAAAAAAAAAAAAAAAAAAAAAAACACTTTGGACTGAGGGTCATCACAAAAATCGTTATGAATTTGAAGTAAAAAATAAAAACGGAACATTAAATTGTCTCTCAGCCCCTCAAACCAAGAGTAGAATATAGCTTACTTTTTGAGAGAGGGAAAAAAAAAAAACAAGAGTACGTTTCCCAGCCAACAAAACAAAGTCGCGCCGTGCATGCAGACCGAAGTTTCGGAAAGTGTCGAGGTGCCATTTCACTAGATATCCATCCAGGCAAAACGGGCCTCGTATGCGGCCCATTTTGCCTGGATGGATATCCGCGAAAAGGTGCACCCATACTTCAAGAAAGTAACAGCCGCATGCATGCCGCAACTTTGTTTTGTTGGCTGGGAAACGTACTGGTCGTTTAAGCCCCTTTAAGCCCCTCCGGACCCCGTTGATACCCCATAGACACTCTTAGGTGAAACATCACGAAATTGAAACATAAGGGCGGATTTCGACACATCTCAGTGGCTGCAAATTTGCCACACTGTCAAAAAAACAAAAAAAAAAAGACTGCTCTTCTGCTGCCGCCTGCGTAACCCATGGGGGCCCCCCCCCGGGGCACATTTGCCCAGGTCACCCAGCTGGGCGGCCCGGGCAAGGGCGGCTCTAGCAACCTAGCTTAACTCGAAATTAGGGTTTGGAAAGCTTAATCACTATCGCCAACAAGTAAGATCAAACTTTGATACCAATTGCTACTATCCCGCCCCATTCATGACGGAAAAGTCCACGTTGTGACAGTGCAAGCTTACTCAACTCCAAAAGTGTGTTATGATCCATGCTACTTAAAATGTAAATCAGACTAAATCTTAAAGTTGAGACAATGCGAGCTTACTTCTCAAGAAGAAGTGGGAAAAACAAAGGGCGAAATAGAATGTAGGAGGGAGAAATAAAAAGGAGGAATACATACACAAGTTTGAACCAATGTCACCTCCTTCTTCTCGCCAACTTCGTCTTCTTAACCTCCTCTTCTCCTCTCTTAACGACAAATTACAACGATACACGCATGAGTGAACAAAGTAAATGTCCGATTCTTCCCCCTTATTGCGAACACTCAAAAGTGTTCCCCTTTCAGCCTCGCTCTTCACCCTTCTCCTTCTGGTTGCATATCTAGCTGCAGCAGTCCATCCATGTGTACCACGGATGTTCAAAGAACAACGGGACTACTATTGTGACTCTCCCACCCATGAACATCATGGCTCCACTCCCCTATAAAGTCCAAGATTAGTTAGTGCCCCAACATGAGCAAAAACCAGGAAGTGGAGATGAAGGTGCACCATAGCCAAGGGCTAGACGTTCGCGTCGGCTCCCACTTCCTCCTCAACCTCTATTATCTTTCCCTTTCCTCTCTTCATAGCTTGGCTTGAGGGTCCGTAGCCGAGGCATACTCCCTTCTCCTACTACTCCTCCCTAGCCATGGGAGTCTTCTTCCTTCTCCACAGCTTCAACCCAAATCTTGGCCTAACACACCCTGAGGGTGAAGCAGCAGCATGACTGCGCTGGCGTGCTCATGACTTTGACCAACTTCTGGCCTCCAGTTCCTCTATCATTCAGCACTTCGGCTTCTTCTATAGGTGCACTAGGTCTACCAGAGGTTCCTACCTTTTGTCGGGGACATCATATGCCATCTGCAATCTACCTTCAGGGACTGAAGCCAGCCTGATATCTACCAAATTTTGGGCCTTGCACCACCAATGACCACTTTGGAAGCTTCCGACCTTTCTGAGTCTAATGGATTTTTCTAGGCTTACCCAAGTTGCTGGAAAATCCTACCAGAGACCTTCCGAGTTCGACTTTCGTGCTTGTCCATCCTAGACTGTCTTCTTTATTTTTTTATTTTTTTTTAGATAAGAAAAAAATTCAAAAATTGAATATAGAGTATTATAGACTATTATAGAGTAGTAAAAAATGCAGCTGGGCCACATATGAGGAGAATCCTAGACGTCCTTAAGTATGTCTGGGATTCAATTTCAGTCCTAGCCCTATAGGTTATACCTATTTACCGTTCTTCCCCTCCCAGGACACAAGCATAGCAGGAGAAGTATCTCAGTCACACAGGCAAACTCTGAAATAACGGGCAAATCATGTGAACAGACCAGCACACGCACATGCATACATCATCGCAAGGTCGCACAAACTCGTAAAACACAGCAAAACCGACCTAAAGTCGAAAACATCAGCCAGAAAGTCTCTCAGGAAACTCCTGACATTTCAGGCTGAAGCTGTGCCAGATATTGCACTCGGCCCACGGAAATGTGTGAGGTCCCTTCGAGATAAAGAGAACCTAGGGATCCAGACAGAAACCGTCATAGGGCCAAAATGCAAACAACACAAGTGAACAGTCACCTGTGGTGTAATTGTGTCCCAGACCGTGCTCGTGCGCATTGACCATTAAGGAAGTTTTCTTGTCGCTTGGATTGGAAAGAAACAATGTAAATCATCAAGTGGATCATACAAGATGCGCACTAGATATTCGCATTTACACTCCTGTTTCCACTCAGGTAGAGATATTATCTTACGGAGTATACGGAGTATCCCCGATCTTACAATGTAGGCAGACCCCTTTGTCAAGGTGGTTCTGCTGGCTCTCTTCTACTGAGAGCTTGAAGGGTTTCCATTATGCAGAAGACTCAGTCCCAAGTTCTCCTGGGATTTTGGCATCTTTAGGTAGGAGGAAAGCTATTCTCTGCTTGTTAGGATGATTAACAGGCCCTTGGTTACAGATGGAAGACTTTTCTAACGCAGGCATCTCAGTGTCCTAATATTCTTGGTCGCCTAGGACTTGTGAAAGAACACCCACCTATGAATTCAGTCCCTGACTAGGTAAAACTCAAAGACTGCATCTTCTTCGGACAAAGCGCCCCTATTTGGCACCACCATGCCATATCCTGCAAAGCGCAGGCTGCCAGCAAAAAAACTTCTTCTGGGCTGTGTTAGCATGGAATACGTGCTCATCTCATGCAAAATGTCGTTCGAAGCATCGCACCCTAAAACAATTGCAAAAACGAAGGCTTTAGGCTACCGTAGACAATGCAGGAAAAATGGGCAAAGAATGATCACCAAGCATCAGCATCGGCACTATTATCTATGTAACCACACAATGAGGGGCATCCATTGGTCACACGGCCACTTACCTGAACCAGATGACTAACTCTGGTGGTAGGTATCACTTTCCCTTCACTTGCCAACCTGCATTACCTTCTATACCGCTAAGTAGAACTGTTGTGAGAACTTGTGACCCTACAGTGTGTTAAAGTCTAGTCAGTCTCTACACATGTCAACTCCACTGCTGATGGTGATGATAGATGTCTAAGTAACAAACATCTTGAGCGGTCTGGATGCTATAGTACCTCCCCTGGTGCTCAAACTGACAAAGAAGCCTTCTTGGGCACACTTCTCCCTCTGGATGCCCGCCTCATGCAAAAGAGTACCTTCCACACTCCACCGCTCATGATGATGATAGAAGCCCAACTAACAACCTACCGTCTTCACCCGAATAGAACGCCCGGTAATTATTGTCGTATCTGGGCTGAAAGTTGTGCCAAATACAGCTATAATGACCGGCCGTTCTATTCGGGTGAAGACGGTAGTCTGCATCTTGTAGTACCTCCCCTCGTACTCACCAACTGAAAAAGAGGCCTTCTTCGCACACTTGTCCCTGTGTGTATGCTCCTCATGCAAGAGAACCTTCCACACTTCTATCTCACCCTCATTGCTCCATCTCATTGCCTCCCATCGTTTCACCACCCTAATCCTTCACTCCAACCCTGATCGGAGGTATTAATACCCCAACACCCCTCTTGGAACTTGGGCTAGGGAAGCAGGTAACAGTCCCCACCCTAATCCCAAACCACTCTTGCCCTAATCCGAATGTTATGAGTACTGGCCAGCCAGTGACCACACTTAGGGACTGACTTTTTTATTTAGAGAGGCCGCTGGGCCATCAATTTGAGGTTTGGCAGTTAGTATCCCAAGGGACATGGAAAGAGAGGTCGTTGACGGCCCTGAATGTATCATCTCCATCCCTGTAACCACCTCACAGAGTATATCTTGCGTCTAAAGGATTCATAATATCCAATTTCGAACTGGGAAATTCCGCTAACACGACTCGATCGACACCAGAGTTGACTCGAGGAAGGCTAGCCAAGCTATATATTGTCACATCACTACAAACTAAAAGAGCGCACTTTGCGGAACAAAGAATAAAAGCAAAAAACGGGCACAGTGATAACATGCAAAAATAAAAAGAAAAAGAAAAAGAAAAAGAAAAAGAAAAAACAAGGGCAGATTGAAACCATTAAATTTCTCATTCTTCTTTGAACTCCACCTCCACTGTGCCTCTCACGTGCAAGGCTCGCCACGTTGATGAAGTTATTGGATAGGAACAGGATTCTCTGATAAGCTTGAGCTCGCTTGCCCTAATCAACTTCGAATTAGGGTTAGGGTATCTTGATCACCTTTTTGCCAACAAGCAGGGTCCAGCTTTGATACCAATTGTTATGATCCCGCCCCATTCATCTTGCAAGACTCAACTTTGAGGGAATGCAAGCTTACTCAACTCAAGAAGAAGAGGAAAACGACAAAGAGCCGAGTAGGAGGAGTGAATGAGAAGAAGACGACATACACAAGTTTGAACGAATGTCATCTCCCTCTCTTCTCTCCAACTTCATCTTCTTCACCTCATCTGTTCCTGTTATAACAACAAATTACAACAGTAAATAAACAAGCGAACAAGAATCAATGACCGATTATTCCCCCTCACTGCCAACACTAAAAGAGCTCCACTTTCAGCCTCACTCTCACTCTTTTTCTCTTAGTTGTGTATCTAGCTATGGCAGAACATCCATGTTTACCACGGATGTTCAGCGGACAACACAACAACTGCTGTGCCTCTCCCAACTCATAATGCCATAGCCACACTCCCCAGATGAAGTCAAACATCAAACCGGTACCCGCATGGGCGGCTTCTAGAATCGCTGCTACGCAACGAAGTGGAGATGAAGGACCACCATAGCCAAAGGTAAGTGTCTCATGTTGGTTCCCTCCTTCCTCCTCCTTGACCTGCAATCTCTTCCTCTCTCTCCTCCTCAAGATCTCTCCATAGCCTGGCTTGAGGTTCTTCTCCCTCTACCTCCATAGCCTACTCCTACTCCCTTCTACTCCTACTCCTCCATAGCCATGGAGGTATCCTTCCACCCTCAGCTGCACCACTTCAACCGAGAGTTCCACCTAAGTCATCCTCAGGAAAGAGCAGCAGCACGACTGCCGGTTGAATAGGCTGGCCTACTCATGCCACCGACCGACATACTTATCACTTCCAGCCTCCGGTACCTCTACTACTGGGCGCTTCAGCCTCTACAGGTCCACTACCTTCTTCACCCGAATAGAACGCCCAGTCATTATCGCTGCATCTGGACCGAAAGCTGTGCCAAATACAGCTATAATGTCCGGGTGTTCTATTTGCATGAAGACGTTAGGGCTACCGCAAGTTCCTGCCCTAGGGAAGGAACATCATCACAGTCTGCAATCTACCTTCAGGGCCTGAACCTAACCTGCTATCTACCTTCAGGGCCTGACATCTTTGGAAGCTACTGGACCATTTTTATTTTTATTTTTTATTTTTTTTTACAGAAAACTAGGTTACCAAATGTCGGATTACAGGATGTCTTGGTCGGACGTCTCGGTTCGACGTCGGGGACCCCAGTTGTTTGGGATCCCACACGACTGTTTTTTGGCAGATCTGGGTGGCCAACACGTTGGGTTTTGGCACCAAAGTCCCGCACTCGGTGCAGGGACCCCCATGAAAAAAATTGGGCTGTTTGGAGGAGACAAAAAAAAAGAAGGGGCCTCAGGGGTACACATTGCCACCCGACCTACCGACGAACTGCAGGGGCAGCAGTTGCAGGCCCTGCAGGCAGGGAACCTTCAACAAGTGCAGCACCTCCAGCTGTTGTTGCAGCTGCAGCTGCAACAATTGCTGCAGCAGCAACAGCAGCTGCAACAACGTGCTGCAGTTGCAGCAATAGCTGCACCTGCTGTTGCAGCTGCAACAAGGTGCTGCAAGTTGTTGCAGCTGCAACAGCAGGTGCAGCTGTTGCTGCAACAACAGCATTTTGTTGCAGAGGCTACTGCTGCTGCAGCAATTGTTGTGCAATGAACCCAGTCTCGATGAGAAGCCAATCAATAATGCAATACAAGACTTACAAGTCTGATTCCAGTGCCATCAATAATAATGCAATACAAGACTTACAAGTCTGATTCCAGTGCCATCAATAATAATGCAACATTTCTACCTCCCCGGCGTACGACTCCATCATCATCATCATCATCATCATCATCATCATCATCATCATCATCATCTCACCATCATCCTCATCATCTCATCATCATCCTCATCATCATCCTCATCATCATATCATTGTCATCATCATCATCATCAGCTGGCGAGGTAAGTGGAGAACGCTCTGATACCAAATTGCAAGGAACCCAGTCCCTGCTTTGACTGCGTCGACAGTCCAGATCATCCTTATCTCGACAGCCGGAATGCATCCTTGTCACAGCAGTCCTTATGGAGAGCTACAGATAACCATTGATGCACATCTGATACACAGCTGTGGTGGACTATTTGGTCAACTTTGACTTTGGGCCTGTTTTTCCCGTACTGCGTCTGACTCTTGGATTTCCAAGGGTCAAGTAACTCAGGTAGCGGTTCCACACACAGCCTTTGCCTAAGGACCTGATAACCTGTGACCCTAGCCCCTTTCTCAGACTTTTGCCAGGCTTGGGACTCAACTTTTGAGCCGTGAATCTTGACTTTGACCAGAAGTTACGACCCTTGCCCGCGTCTATGCGGATTTGAAGTGAGTTTGTTGCAGTTGCAGGTGCTGTTGCTGCTGCTGCTGCAACAGCACCTGCAACAAATCTGGGTCATTGATCTTCCAGGTCCAAGCAGGAGGCAGACCCAGGGAAAATTTTCAAATTCGAAAAGGTCCAATCTGGGCCATCAATCTTCAACATCTGACGGCCCAGAATAGGCCTTCTTTTTTCAAATTTTGAGTCCCTACCGGCCTCAACAAAAAAGTATGTCTCGGGCCGGGTCTGCCAGCCCACGACCTCCCAGAGACCCGCCGGCCCCCAAACCCAGCGAAAGTCGGGCCCCCCTTATTTTTCGTAGGGAGCAGACATATTGTCTCGGTAGGACATCTCGGGGAGTTGTCCGACCGGACAAGTCGGACACTCGGGGGGGTCCTGGACGTCCGCCCCTGTAAGCTAGCAAAAAAGACTCTGCTCATTTTATTACCACACAAAAGGGGGAGGTCGGGAATCCCTCCACAAACAACCTGGAAAACAAACTAGTGGGACCATTACCCAGCTTAGGTGCAGGCGCTGGGTACTAGTCCAGCAACAGAAATGACCATCACATGATCACTGTCCGGACAGACACCCAATCCTGGGAGCAAAGGAAGCCTCACAGCCTGAAAAGCTTCACAAACCAATGCTGGACCATTTCTAAGTCATACGGACTTTGATAGGCTCACCTAAGTTGCTGGAAAGTCGTACCCAATACCTGCAATATTCTGCTTTTGCTCTTGTCCTTCCGACATGTTCTCCTAAGTCCATCTGGGATCCAATTTCAGTCCTACCCCTGTGCCCATACCTATTTTCTGTCCTACACCTCCCAGAACATAAGCATAGCACGAGAACAGAGTTAACCTCGGTCACACAGGCAACACAGCTAAACCAAATCAAACTTGAAAATCACAGCAAATCAGGCAAACGGACAAGCACACCGGAAGACATACGTCATCATAATGCTGTAACTCGTGTGCCAAATTGAGCCGCTGGGCTCTTGTCACACCCGCAGACAAGCACGAACGGGCAGGCCTGGAAAAAGGGGGGTCAAACAGGCCGTGGAAATGGCCCAGGCCGACAGTTGACCAAAAAGTCAACAGTCATCTCGTGGACAAAGGCCCAGATTCGAGAAGTCAAAGCCAACACACAAGATTTCCTGGCCATCGATCTGGAATGATCTAACGGTGGTCTGCAGGTTCCGGAAGATTCATCAGGCCTCAAGGAGTCCAGACCGAAACTGGAACAAATCGGATGATCCAGGCCCTCACATGGACCGATGCTGACCCTGAACAGGCAAGTGAACACTATATCAAGTTGACCTCACCACTGCTTGGGCATTCAGTCTTACGAGTTGCTTGCGGCTTCGACACTGCACATGAGACTTGAGGAGTGGGTACTGGCGGCGGGCTGTTTCATGCGCGCCAGCCAGATTCTAGAGTATAGGAGAGAGAGAGGCAGCCATTGCTTCAAGGATAGTCGACGGCAGGATAGCGAGGGAGAGCTGGTCTTACCTGGTGGGACGTTGCTGGTGATTCTGCCCGCTGCTGGAGGTTTGCCCATCTGCGAGGGGCTGCGTTACATCATCCACTTGTCATACAGCGTTCAGGAGTGCTGACGTGGCAGAGGTGGGAAGCCTGGAGGAGAAGTGGGAATTGGTTGCTGTGTTACTGTTACACGCCCAGTTGGGCGATGTACATATAAACCAAGGATCCGCAATGTGATGAAAAGGACTGAATGGACAATGCAGTGCAAGTGAAATCTCAACAAGCAGTGTACATCCTGATACATACAAAGTGGTGCTTTACAGTGCAGTGGAAGGCTTAGATACAAGTCCTGACCTGACCGGGACTGACCTCTTTCATGTAGTACAAGATAGCGCGACAGAATACTAGAATACTAATGACTAGCCCAATCAATGTTACAATGCAGGCAAAACATACATCATTCTCACCACACGGTGTGAAGGGAGCATGGCGCTATACACAGGAAGAGGCGCCAGGTCCATTTCATGCACAGACGAAGAGGAGAGGATCAGACGGAGAAGAGGAGGGGAGAGATGGGAAAGTCGTCAACACCAAGTCTCGTTACAAGTTCCAAGTGATCCCTCGTCAAAATGTCTGAAGTCCAATGTCGAGTCTGGATCCAAATGTCACAAAGCTCTCTCTCTCTCTCTCTCTCTCTCTCTCTCTCTCTC